AGATATCCAGGGGGAGAGAATCATAGAATCCCAGACGTGTTTGGTTTGGAAGGTACCTTAAAGATCATCTAGTTCCAACCCCCCTGCCATGGGCAGGGACACCTTCCACTAGACCAGGTTGCTCAAAGCCACATCCCGCCTGGCCTTGAAGACATCCAGGGATGGGGAGAAGAAACGGTGGGCATCGATGGCCACAGCTCGGGGGTCCACAGCCCCGGCTGACAGCTACAGCGGGTCGGGAGGCGCTTTGCGCGGGGCCATTTCAATGTTTTGGGTGCAAAAGCTTAGCAAGAAAACATGGCGTGGCAGGTGTGACAGCCCCGAGTGACACCGCTCCACCTCTGGCTCAACCCCTTTCTGCCAGATTTGAGGCCAAACCTCTGAAAAAAGTCTCCAGTTGGCTGTGAGGAGAATTCTGCGGGAGATGGAGCAGGGAACGGTGTCAAGTGGATTTGACACGGTGTCCCCCCAGTACGGAGGTGCCAACAGCACCCCCCGCGCAGGGGACAGCACGGGGAGCCCTAGCACACAGCTGGGAGCAGCCTGACACCCTCCCACCCACCGAGAGACACATCACAGCCAAGGCCAAGGCAAACGAGACTCACCCCTCTCCTCTTCTTCCTGGCTTGTATCTGAGATGTTGTAGTGGGAGACACAGACCTGGAAACGTGGCTGGGAAGGGAGAAGAGCGAATCATTTCTTGCACTAGCAGAGACCTCCGTTGCACATCTGCTTTGCACACGTCTGCCATCTGCGGTTTTCCCCGCGAACCCTCTTCATGGTTCCCATCTCGGTTTTACCCACAACACAGAGCTCAGCGATTGGGGACGGGGAGACAAGCAGAGACTTGAATCCCACTCTCTCCCCTCCAAGTGTCTCCCATCAGCCTGGGACCACGTGCTGCATCCACTGCCAGACACACCTCCTTCGATCTCAGCCCGTGCTGGCGTCTCCACGGGGCTGGGAAAACAGTGATCCGAGCTCTGGAGTCATGGCCTTTTCGTTCCTCCGTGTGCGAGCCCCCCCGCTCTCACATCCCCCTGCCCTGCCTGCAGCGCTCTGCCTCTCGGGGCGGCAGCGCCGCAGCGCCAGCGGGTACCCCCGCTCCCGTGCGAGGCTGGCGGCAGCGCTGCTGCGGTTCCTCTGCACAAACCACCGGTTTTGGGGCGGGATGTGATACTCGGGATGCAGGGACACCCCTGAAGCAGCCAGAGAGGGGCCAG